TGATTTCTGAAGACAAGTTTGAGAAGAGCACACTACAGCCTGCACCCAAGTGTACATATTGATTGCAGCCGAAGGTGGAATCAGAGCGGTGAATCACAGGGTTCTTTGAAATTATTCTATTGTTATTAAGTTTTGAATGTGTTTCCAATAGAACAAGTTAAGTAGGAATATTTGCTATTGTTGGGTTTACATAATTTGTAATGTCAATTTATTTTTGTAAATCAGTAATTATATCCATATATAACAAAAGATGTTTGACATGTTTGAAGTTATCAGTTGAATGTTTTTAGTAAATGGATTCATGACCTTCATTTTGTAGCACATTCACATCTACATGGTTACTAGTGGAAACATGTACAGCTTTTTAAAGTCATTTAAATTGGAGCACATAGTGTATGTTTACTGGGAATAGTCCTAGGAACCCATAGTGCAAACAGATAATAGCCATACATGCATAGTATTGTTAAAAAATGCTAATAAAGTAAAAACTTTTTACAAAGGCAGAAATTAGAATGAAATTTTACATCGTTTGGCTAAACCAAGAACACTTGGTCAATGACCTGATGAGAGTACTAATTCAGAAAAAGTATTCTTTGCAGAGCAGCAAGTGTCTATGAAAGTGCTCTAATATTATTTGCTGTACCAGCACAATCATGAGAACTAAACATGTCACTAACATTGGACTCTGGCCCACATAGTGTAGAACTATGAGTTTTGCTCGGACTCCTGCTTACCCTTTTCTGCCCACTGTGATTTTAAGCAGCATAGAAATTCTAGAACCAAATTTCCCATAGTATGATTTGACATTCTACAAATGCTATCTAAGCTTTCCTGCAAGGCTTATTTAAAATTAAGAGCCTATCATTTGTGTGAGAGATAACAGTGCTATTGTTGTCAGTGACCAAAGCCCCCATACATAAGGCAGACCCACCCTAGCCATTAGTCACATCCCATTAAATGTAGCGTGTTCTTCATCTCTGATTGTGCTCTCATACTGTGACATTTTCTTTATGAATTGATTTTAATGAATTTTGCATTGCTAATGACACAGGAAAAATGCATGTAAAACGTCTCCTCTTCCCTCAAAGCACAGATCTATAGTGCAAAGCTATATCCCGTCCTGTCTACAAGCATAGAGGGCTAAACTGAAATGATAAGCTTTGCTCCATGCTCTTATGCTAAAAGTTTTCTTGGTGTCAGCTTAGTACTTTTAATTAAGGAAAATAAATGTGTAATATTATGAAAATAAGGTTATAGCATAAAACTAGAAAATAGAGAAGTCAATATACTGGTACCAATAAGTTACTTGACAGTAGCAAACCTGCCCTTCCAGCAATCCAGCAGTCTGCATTGGTGATGGGATTCCAGTATAGGATTCTTTCTCCCATCAGCCCATGCCACAAACATATTTTGATATCTCACATACTGTGTCTATAAGGCCCCATGCATGTGGGACTTTTATGTGCCTTTGGGATTCCTCTGGCAAGAACCTATGGATTCTTGCCGCAGGAATCCTAGGTGTGTCCATTCAGATGTGGCCACTCTGCCAATTTAGTAACGGACAGATGCAGCCACGCTGTCATTAACTTGAATGTGCACAGCTGCTGCATCTGATCAGGCACACCTTGGATTCCTGCAGCAAGAATCCATAGATTCTTGCCGCAGGCATCCCTGAATGTACATAAAACCAAGCGCATGGGGCATAATGCCCCTTTCACACTGCTTATCGATCAGGTCTGTCTGTCAGTTTTTCAGGCCTATCTCTGCATACATAAGATTACCTCAGAGTCCATCTAGGTCAGGAAAAGTAAAAACACAAGGGAGTTCCATTTTGGCAGACCTGAATGGGACAGATAATCACATGTAAATGGACAAATTCTGCTTAAATCCGACTGCCCACAGATCTAACATGGGTCTGGTTAGTTCAGCTTTTTCCTCTATCGCAAGATGGAGGAAAAAACTGAATGTACACAAATGTCACAAGAGTGACATACGTTCCTTCTGCTTCAATCAGCAGGGCATCTGTGCACAGATCCCCTGCTGATCGGAATGGATGCTGCCCGTGTGAAAGAGGCCTAATACTTAAATTACTAAAGGCACTATCTGCTGCTAAACACAGAGTAACACAGGGTAGCTTTCTGAGTTCCCCTAGTTCTATACACTTTACCTGGCCAGTCTTATCGCTCTTGCTATTATAAACACCCAAGTCTAAATGTAAAGGTAAATAAAAACCTCCTTTACAAGAAGTAGCTTATTATACTGTAATAGTATAATAAGAATTTTCCAGGTGTATAGTGTAACTGTAACCTTGCACAACTCTCTTGTCTCTGTAATATAGTATCCTCCTTCACACTATAATTATAATGCCTAGGTGATGCTACTATGCCATCATCATCATCATCATCATCGATAAAGCATATTCGGCAGCCTAAGTATAGGGGAAAACATGGAACAGTATGTCCAACTGTGATCAGATCTTGAACAAGCCTATTCCTGGTTAGCTCCAGTAACGTGCACCTATAAAATGAAGCTACATCAACGTAGAGAGGGAAATATAAAGGAAAATATTACAATACGTTTGCCATGTGAGGTGTATGCACCAATCAGACTTATTCAGTAAGGCACTAAAAAAGGGCACTGATGTGCAAAGTGCAGAAACCCATAGCTAGCAAATATTTTACTTTACAGCATTCAGATAAATTAAGTGATGTCTGGCTGGTGGCTCTGGGTTCCTGTAATTTGCACATCCCAACTGCCTTTTGTGCTGCTTATTAATTAGTCCTCATTAATATTCAATAAAGGAATAGTAGTCTCTGCTGGACATCATCTATGCTAAATTTGGAAATATTTAGATAATGCTGGTAAATCAGAGCCCTAACAATAGATTTGCCTACTCTTAATTTCCAGAGACAGTTCAGTGGCATGGGAATGCAGGCTCTAGAGGTCACATCTCTCAATAGCCAGTTATGAGAGTAAATAATAATGTTCAAATCTTTAGGTTTAGTGATGACTGATCATACCTCTGTGTTATGTTTAGTCATGTCATTATTGTATTATATGAGATGACCAGATGAAGTGCTAAGGCTTCCTCTGACTTTTTCAGCACAAGTATTCTTAGTCATATGCTCAGTTAGCAGTCCTATAACATAGTCCCACACTTTATTACTTTTATTCAGTATAGGTACACAATTCCTTTTATTCTCCACTAATTCCAAAACTCACATGTTACTTTTTAACAGTAAGTAAAGAAATGTGATATGAAGACCCTTGTGGACAGCTTGAATTAGCATGTTGCTGGTGATGGTAGAATACCAAAGTCTACCTAGGCAGTAGATTATGGTAAATGTTTCGTTAAACACTCATGTGTAGCAGCCAGACAGTTATTTTAAGTTTTTTGTAGGCAGGAACCAGCATAACATAGTTCACAAATGTATAATACACTTTTATACCAGATATTTCCCTGTATGGAAAATCTACCCATACCTTTGCAATCCTATGTCAGAAAAAAAAGGGAATAAACTTGTAGGAACTTGTTTTTATTAGGGAACAACACTCTGCATTCTTTGGTTACATGACTGGCCACATTAACAAGGAGGGCTGTTCATTCTATACTCCTGCATTGGAAAAAAAATTAGGGCCACACAGACCAAGCAAAGGATTGCTGAATTGTAGGGATGATACACTGTATGTTTAATCACTAATCAAATATCTTACTTTGAAATATGCCTAGCAACACAATTATTCAGAAAATATCACATAGTGGCAGAATATGTTTATTAATTTTATATAGAATGGGAATGATGGAAGCTGATTCTGTGGAGATCTCCAAATCTTATCTATAGATAGCATAGATAACATGCATTAGTGCCCACCTGGACTTCTTGCATTTGAAATGGGCCTCCAGCCTATTTTCTTGATGGAACATTACCTAAAAACATTTGATTCTTTCAGTGAAACACCTACTGCAGAAATACTCAAGCTTAATTTTCTTCTGGGACCGAAACTGTTGCCTTTTCAATTTTCTTGGACTCCATAAAACTAGGAATGTCAACAGAACAAATCAGACTGAATGGATTACATGTCAATCTGGTTACCCCCCAAAAAAACTAATTGAGGGGCCCTGTTAGGGTCACCTTCCTCTGCACTGTACCTTGTTTAACTTTAATTTTGAATTCCTTTGCTGTAGATAACATAGTTGAATCAGTCACTACTAAACTCATTGGGCCTTATGTATGAACACTCTTATTGTTTTCTTCTTCTCCTTCTTTGTACCTACAGCTATTAATAGCAAAATTAACAAAAAGTCAAATTATCAGCAGTTGTCCCTCATGTCTGCACACAGGAAAGGTGGAAGGTCTTACCTGAGGAAAAGGTTGAGAATTTGTGGCACAAAACATCCACTCATATTAAGATATTATACAATATATTACTATTCTGGAGAATTGTGTCCCTGATTCATAGTCATTCACTAATCAGGGGAGAATAGAATGTATCTATAACATTGATCCATGAAGAAAAGTCATAAACCTCTGAATGGGCAACGTTATAGAAAACAGAATAAAAATGTGAACTGAGTCATTTGCTTTGACTTATTTGGCATTTAAAGTTTTAACAAACACTTGGGCCTATGCAATATGGTGATGCAGACAACAAGGAAAATGCACAACATGCAAAACTCATAGAAACCAACTAGGCTTACATTTTCTTTAGTCAGCCCATAGAAATTATTTCTGGTGGGTTCCTATGTATCACAGCACTTTGTACATTATCATTGCTTTTGGTCTACCATTATTGAATAAACCTACATTATTGTAATTCAAAGACCCTCACATGGTGTAATACAATTAGAGCCTTGCAGACATCTCTGATGGATTATATTCTCCAGCTCAAGGCTGCAAATCTTTCCTTATTATCAATGGTAATCATCTTTACAGGAAGGATGTACCTCCTATTAAAGTGAGCTAAATACTGCAAAGACCTGTTCCATCTATGACAAAGAAAAAGTTAATCCAGCACAAAATCTTACAGATTTCCGGTTCATCCTTCATGTTTCACCTTTATACTTTCTATATATCACTTACATTCTAAACCATAACCATTATCTTGCCTCCTATTATATCATACCAACTCATTGATCATACTAGTCTACTCTTTGTAGTTCCTCACATACCATCATGTCCTTCCTCAAGTCTCTCAAATAGGCATCTGCAGAACTGTAACAATCCGTTTTCTGTATCCATTGTTAACAGAAAATCATCTTCCATTGGCTCACAAATAATCTTTACATTACTCTGGAGTAATAGAGAATTGCTCACATAGCAAAATGTAAATATCTTGCTTCCAAGAAATGCACAGTTGGTCTTTGAGGGTGATACACATCGCTTTAGGGCACCTCATTATATATACCCTGTTCTACTCCGGAGAAGTCTGAAGGTCTTCAGATTTTCTCACAGAAAGCCAATTGATGTAGCCCAATAAGCTGTGTGAGAGGAAGCATAGACAAAAGATCAGTGCATAGCACACTGCCACCTTCACCTCAGCAGAGGAGGCACCCTTGTTAAGAGGTGTAGAATCACAGGTCCTTGTGGGTCTTGGAGCCACTTAATGGTCTCTGTAAAAGAACAAAATGTATTAATCTCCTGGACTCTAGTTAATTTGGAACACCAGCCAAATCATTTGTAACGTGTATGTAACTTTCCATGTTTTGTATGTTTTGACACATTATATAATAAATAAATATGTACCAGAACACAATTGCCAGATTTTTTTAAAGATATCAAGAGTGTATGAGAAGTTATGTAACCATTTAAAAGCGAAAACTTACCAGGCTATTACCTAATGACCTTATCACGGAGCGTAACCTTTTCTTTTAAAATACAATAAATGAAGGGCATGTGATTGGGATAAAGGCACGTAATGTGAACTGAAACACCCTACATCACCTAACAAAACTGACACAGTGATTGTAGGCCACAAAGTAAAAGGTGGAAATCTATTAAAGTAGTAAGAATTATCCTAATTTCTTGTTGAAGTCACTTGTAGTCTCCATGGGCCTATGTGTCAATGCAGGAGCACAACTGGGAGGCAACCATCACCACATAACAGGAAGTACCTGAACAATGACCTTTGTGGGGGATCACCAGGTATTACTTGAATACTACTTTAATGCTCCTCTGGAGGAAATGCCAAGTTTAGAATGTTAAAAATTATATGTATGTCTATTAGTTTATTATTTTAACTAACTTAACTATGAGAATTGTGAACCTTACCATAAAGATGACATTAATATTTTGTTTTTAGGAGAAAGGATTATTTTGAAGCGTTAGTATAAATCTGTTTCGCTTGCACATGATCTGCAATAGTATTTAAAAATGTAATATTTGACAGGAGGTGACTGTGCACAAAGAAAAACAATGTGCATGCTTACTACATCTTTAAATAATTTGGGATGTTTATATAATAATCTGTTCCAGTACTCAATAGTAAAAGAAAAACAGTTTTTCAGTTCAAATGAGCCTTTTTCACAAGAATAACATTTGTAGCGCATGTAGAATTTTTCAGACTGTGATTCTGAATTGTTGCATTTGTACTTTTAGACTCATATTTAATTATCTAGGATAACATATAAAATGTTATTCACTGCTGCACATTATTTGACATTTACTGCATCTAAAACCACCTTAAATGAGGATAGTAATAGAAAAAAACATACCTTTTGCCCTGTGCCCAGGTTAGAATTGCCTGCTGTCGATGGCCTTGGGTCTCGGACCCTTTTGTGCAGAATAGGAAGGCTAGAGACTGTTGGCTTTACAGAACTTTTCCCTTTTGGCTCTTCGCGTGTTTCTCTTGTGAAAGGCAGTTTTTTGCTGGAGGTTTTGCCTGCTCCTTTTGCAGCGGCTGCCGAATGATCCTGAAGTCTTTGGGTAGATAATTTAGAAGTTGCTTGTGACCCTGAGGTTGGAACTTTATTCTGAGGATTCTTGATGCCAGTAGAATTAGGAAAGCATTTAACAGATGATGTTGTTGTCTGTCTAGCAGATAACGTGGAAGGACCACTTACATCTTGAGACTCTAGCTCTTTTACTGAATCTTCTTTCCAGTCATCTGTGCAAGCTTCAAACATGTCCTCAATTTCTTGCTCTGTGTAACCTTCTGTTGGCACCTGAGTGTTAGTGGCAGATCCATTTAGTTCCCCACAATCGCTATCATGAGAGGAAAGAGATAGGTAAGAGTAGAAGTCCCCTCTTTCCAGCTGCCTACGAGAATACTCTAGCACCTTCTCCCGGATTTGTGCTCCAGTTCCTTGGCTCTGTCCATCCTGTGGTGATGATTTATGGAGTGCGTTAGATGTCATACCCAAAATTTCCTTCACAAATTCTTGTACAGTGCAATCTGGACTACTAGATGTTTCATGTGCTGAACTATGACAAGAACATGAAGACTCGTTTGCGGATTCTAAAACTGTACTAGAAGATGCTTCTTCCTTTCTTTCTGACACCACTGAACTACTATCTATCATTTCCACATCTGCCACTGCTTCACGTGTAACACGTAAGTTGCTCTTACCATTTGAGGATGGTCCTAGCTCACGGGGCTTGTGATAGGCCAAGGCAGGCATGCAGGGAGGATGAAGTTTTTCTGTTTTAGTTATTGATATTGATGGGTATGGTCCTGTTTTTATGCTTCTTTCAGAAAGATTTCTCTTAAACAAATTGCCCTTTACAATGTCTACACTACTGTGGACATTTCCATTTTCTACATCATCAACCAGCAAACCAGAATTATTTACACTTTTTTCCTCTCCAGATGTTGTTGAAACCTTCGTTAAATCTTTATCATTTCCATTATTTTCCTTCTGTTTATGTATAGAGCTGTGCAATATCTTTTCGGACTTTGAAGTACCGGCCATGTCCTGTAACACCCTATTCATTTTTCTTCTTTCTCTGGGAAGCAGAAATGAAGGTCTAATCCATGCCTGCAACTCTCTTCTGATAAAATCTGACCCTAAAGGTAGTTCTGTACCATCTCCAGCCTCGTCGTCACTTCCCATACTGGAGTTTGGCTCTTCAACTTCCTCTTCTTCCTCTTCTTCAGTTAATGTGAGGGTGGAACTTGATAGCAAGTCACTGTCATCTTCTTCATCAGTGCAAGCTGATGTACATGATACATTAACAATCATGCTTAGGTTGGCTTCCCCTTCTTCTCCCCCCAATGAACGACTTAGATGTTTGCGGAAACTAGCATTAGAGTTGAGTAATCCTAATCGACCTTTTAGTACAACCATATCTTCAGATCTGAGTGATAACTCCTCACTGCTACTCAGTTCAGTCAACTCAGAACCAATATCCTCATTCCCTGATGATTCTTTGTCTTGTGATAGTTGGAGACCAGAGAAAGATGGCTTTCGAGAACTACATCTAAGAGTAATGTCATCAGAGAAACTGCGCTTCATTTTCTGTTGTTCAGATGGACATTCAATATCTTCCAGCCTCTTCAGCAAGTCTAAAGTACGCTTACTTAACTCTTCCCCTGGATCACTTCCTGGGGTATTATCAGCTGAACCTTGCTGACTGAACAGATCTTCATTACTCTTATATGAGGCTGGCCAGCTCTCCAAAGACACACTACGTCTGAGTACTGAGGACTCTAGAGCCTCACAATGGACTGAGAGTGATTCTAGGGATGAAGAGCTAGATGGGGAGTTTTCTGGACTTAGGACTTCAATCAGGTCCTGAAAATCCACCCTGTCCTCAGGGCTGTGGTCTGCAGAGCTAGCTGGAAGCATAGTCCTGTTTACACCAGTTTGACCAGGGGTTCTTTGGAAACATAAGTTTGGTACCATTGTCAGTGTTCTTTCTAGACTCCTGGCTTTAAGCCTGTTAGGCTGTATTTGGGAAGTGTTTTGAAACATAAGTGGACTTTGGGGCTTTGACTTAGAAAAGTGTCCAAGTCCAACCCCTTTACTGCCAATCTGACCTACATCATCATACTGATCCTGGCACCCTTGTGACCCTTCTCCATCCAGAGATAGGCACCCTTCTGAATTGGCAGCAGTTACACCTTCTCCACTTGCAATGCCGCTCTCACTCTCAGAATGGCCAGTAGAGCCCATTTGCATCTTTGTAAGGTGATGAGCTTGTGGGGAACGATTAGCTAAATCTGGCAGTGATACAAAATTGCAGCCTTGCAAAAGGGAAAGTGAAAGGGGAGGTAGGGAATCCAACTTCTTGGTTTCTCTTTGTGACAAATGTATGTTTGCTTCAAAACGTTCCATGTTATGCAAACTGTAGACCTGATATACAGGTGTTTCGATGGGACTGTGCGGTTGAGTGTCATCTGAAACTGCTTGTTCTGAGCAGTGTCTTTCACCTGAAACAAGCATGTCTGCCGTGAGCTGCTTATTCTCATTTGTGCCACAAACAGGCTCTGTAGTAATGTCAGTCTCATCCCATTCCAATGCTTCCTCCCCACCAGTATTGTTCAAATCAGCCCAGTCTGGGTCTACCAGTTGATCCATCTCCTAAAACAGCAAAGTACATAGTCAGAAAATAAGCAAATTTTAAATAATAAATATATTTAACGCAAATAAAAAATGAAGAACTTAAACAACATGTACATAAAATGGTGTCAATCAAACCACATATACCATATTCAGCCATGAATATATATATA